GAGAGGAGATGTATCCTATTTTAATGTTGATGCAACCCTAGTCAAAGTGTCGAAGAAAGAATTTATACTAGTAGTTGCATGTAGAAGTATGCAGTTAATATTGTACAGTGCCTGGGCTCTTGCGAGCTACGCTTGTTTTGCAATTCGCTTGACAACATTGCGCATGAATGTATCTGAGCATACATAACTGCCCCGCGACAGCCTGCAGACAAGGAGGCGGCAGCGTCTTAGAGATATCCGCTGAATGCTTTGTCGATCACTCCAAGGCTGAACGGCTTGGAGATGTAGCCATCTCCCCCAGCATCCGATGCCTCTTCCTCGAACTTCTCTGATACGTTAGCCGTCACAAACACCACCTTGGGAAGCGCCTTGTCACCTCGATGCTTTACGATGAGCTTCGTTGCCTCTAGACCATCCATGATGGGCATCTGGTGTTGGCAAGAATCAAAGTTTCAATCTGTTAGAGATCCATAGTGTGCAGTTTGCTGTGAATCATTTCTGCTCGTGGACTTACCTGCATATCCATGAAAATGAGATCAAATTCCTGTTCTTTATTCTTGGTCACGGCTATTTCCCCATTGTCCGCAAACTCCACGTTGGTCACTCCCAAGCGACTGAGCATCCTGCCAAGCACCTTTTGGTTGATAATGTTGTCTTCTGCAACCAATATTCGAAGTCTGTCGTAGGAGATGGGTCTGGCAGCTTCTGGGCTCTCGACTTCCGGACCTCCATGCGAGGACGCCTTCATTTGGGCCGCCAACGACCGTATCAACACGGACGGCAGTACTTGCCGCAACGACCGAAAGTGAAGGTTGGTTTCCTTGACGCCGTAGTTGGGCCCATGCGTCACCATGGCGGTCTTTTGCTTGGTCAAATTTTTGAATTGCTTGTGCTGAGTCGCATCGTGTAGTTGCTCGTCCACCAAAGTGAGATAGAATCGATCCTTCTGCAATCCGTTGTTGGGGGGTGACATGGTTTCCAACAACGACTCCATGCTGTCGAATCGGCGAACATTGTTGACGCCCAACTCACTTAGGAGATTGCTTCCCGAGTTGCTACCGGGTTGTTCAATGGAAATGATTTCCCCTCGCTGGAGTTCCTTGGTCAGGGGTTTCACATCGAACAATTTCCCCGTAAAGGGAAAGTCTACGGCAAACTCGGTCCATTGTCCCACGACACTGTCCACCGAAATGGTTCCACCCAACCCCTTGACCAACTTGGTGACAATGGCCAAGCCGAGGCCTGAGAAAAGCATTGTAAATAAGTATGTGAGCGGCCACTGTGATACTAATAGGCAAGACACACAAACAGTTCGGAAACGTACCTGTACCACCATGGCTGGTTTCAATCATGGAATTGGCTTGCTTGAATGGTTTAAAGATACGGGTGAAGTCCTTCCTTGGTATTCCGTTGCCATAATCCTTGACGCGGAAGCGAAGGATCTTGTCACACGTTCTCAATCCTTCACTCAGCTGATCTTCTTCGGTCAACATCATGGCCCCCGGCGGTGATTTACTACTCCCCATGCTGCTGCTGCTGTCTTGTTTCTCTGGTTCTTTGCCACTGAGAAAGGGGCAGCCTCCCGCCGTGGCTGGTTGACTTGGAGGAGCATCTTTGGTTGGTTCTTTCCCACTGAGGAATGGACAGCCACCACCACTACCCGACGGCTTGGACGAAACCGGTTTGTCGGTTTCTGCCGCTGCCGTCTCGTCCCGTTCGGTTGTAGCGTTCGTCGGATCAGGTCTCTCAGTGTCCGCCTCCTCTCCTTGCGGTTGCGGTGCTGTATCTTCTAATTGTTGTTGCTGTTGTCGATACGGATTCTCCACCAACCCCACCTTGAGTTCAATGACTCCTTCGGGCGGACTAAACTTGACCGAGTTTCCCAGCAGATTGTAAAGTATTTGTTGCAGTCGTCGGTTGTCCATGTCAATGGTTTCGGGTACGGCCGGATCATAACTGGTGGCCACGGTAAGGTTTTTGTCGCGTGCCTTTTGGGCAATGGAGTGTACGACGGCATCCAAACAGGTTTGTATATTGGATGGTTTGACGGCAATTTCGACATTACCCGTTTCGAGTTTGCTGTAATCGAGGACATCATTGACTACCGTCAAAAGTAAATCCCCCGATGTGACAATCATTTGTAGACAGTCCTGTTGGTAAGGACTGAGATTGGTTTCTTGGAGTAGCGAGGACAAGCCAATAACGCAGTTGAGGGGTGTTCGAATCTCGTGGTGATACTGGCAAATGTCTGCAACTGCGCCTGTGAAGCGGCCTCCAACTTGCGATTGACTTCTTCGAGTGATTCGTTGGACTTTTGGAGTTCCTGGGTTCGTTCCTGGACCCGCTGCTCGAGCGTATCGACGAGTTCCTGGTTCTTGCGAACGGCATTGTATGCTTGAATGAGATTGGAACAGGTCGTGACGAAGGGCTCTAGAAACTCGACATCTGCCTCTGTATATCCGCCGGGTTTGTTGGCAATGCCGACCATGCCACAGTTGTGCGGGTCCATTGTCATCGCGCGTGGTGGATTCGAAAAAGGGAATTCCCAGAAAGTGATCGAGCGGAGGATGTCCTTCCGGGATCCCGCAGGCCGCCGGATGATCCTGCGGTGCGTTGCAGACCATTGGTTCGGCCGTGACAATGACTTGGCCAAAGAGAGAGTTCATATTGAAGAATTTCAAGCCGTGATCCACATTGTCATTGTAGAACGCTCTTGTCACGGCATTCCACGCAATGTTGGTAATGGCATGCGTCTGTAGATAGGGCGATCCATCTTCTTCCTTGTACATGACTTCGCCAATGAACCCGTACTCGCTGTCCATCAGATCCAACAGCTTTTCCAACAACGTCCCAAAGACCACACGGGGTTCTTCGCGCATCAAGTACTGACGCTGCACAGTGGCAATGCCATCCAGCAAACGCAACTTGTCGTGGTCCAGTCTCGCTCTCTTGCTGGCGGGTTGATCATTACTAGTAGTACTTGTCGTCGAGCTCTCGGAACTGGCGGCCGTCGCAAACGAAAGATCGTCGTCGTCGTCGTCGTACTCGTACTCGTGATCCGTCACCACAATCTCCTCTGCGGCTGTCATGGTCGTCATGTCTTGTCTTGTCAAATACTTTCTTGTGGGCTTTTTGTTCAAAGTAGAACAATCTCATTTGAGGAGCGTTTGCTTGTTGTGTTGGTTTTGCTGGTCGAAGAAGCGGGGTTCGACGGTTCGCCAGTGGGCAAACTCTCGCGCTTACCTGGCGATCAAATCTCAGCCTCCATCTCTTTCCATCTCCGGTGCCGTTGTGCCGTTCGGTGCCTGTGGCCTGTACCGGTTCCAGTACGAGGTGTACACGGTCCGAGAAACAGATGGTTGCCGTCGAAAAACACGAGCAAGACGACACAGTACAGTAGATCGCGATTCGCGATTGGTGTCGTCAGTAGCAGTGATGTCCTTTGAAGAAATCTAGGGTTTTACACGGATGTTAAATAAAAGATGACGCCTACTGTTCTGCGGAAAGTCAAATAAGCTTGACATTCGGCAAACAGGTCAGCTGGTACGACTGTACCAGCTACAACTCGCATTTATAAGAAGCCGCTGAGGCCTGACTGAGAACTACTAACTAGCTAGCCACGGTACTCCAGTAGAGCGCTAGCTAGAGCACTGATGAGCACTGACCATTCGCCCAGTTTCGCCAATGGCCATACGGTACGTAACAACAAAGCAACAGCAAGCAAGAAGGAAGAAGTTATTTGTCGAGATCAATGGACATTTCAAGGAGAAGAGCAGCTTATAAATCAACTCCACAGTCAGTCCAGAGTGACTCAGTCAGTCAGATGAACGTCAGAAAAGGAGGGAACACGAGGTTTTCGCAATGGGGCTGCGATTGAAAAGAAAATGAGAAAGGAACCTCTCGATTGCTATGCTCGCAGAAAAGATCTGATGATGATTAAAGATTCGATTCAAAGATTCTGACCCAAAAGCTCACCAAAGGAAAGCAGTGACGGCAGCTGCTGAGATATCATAGCTGTGACGATACAGATAGATAGATTTTAAGATTGTTTGGGGCTCGACCCGCAGCTGCACAATAATCGATCTGTTCAAGACTTATCAGTGATGATTCACCTCGTGGGTTTGCCGGAAGGTACCTGGTATGGTACTGTCTTTGTCTTTGTCTTTGTCTCACTGTCTTCTGTCTTCTGTCTTCTGTCTCTACTCAAGGTAGTCTAGCTGTGGCCAGTATTAAGACACTGTTTCGCTTGCAACAGGGATTGGACAGATATCCTTTTAAAAGACTTTGATCCAGCTGGAACAATGATGGTACCGGTACCAGTACTGTACTGAATAACTGTATAGTAAAGTCAGAATCCGGTGATCTTCATTATTCATTTTCAGCAAAAAGAATTGTTTTGAATTTTTCCCATTTTCATATTCCTCTTCCCCTGAGTGGCGAACAAGCCTGGCAATGTTAGGAGATTGAATGAGATCAGTGAGATGATGACAACTCTATGGATTGTAGCAGCAGTGATCCTTTGGACCTTGTGTTCAATCGAGGTCTCCTCCACCCAATCATCAGTCTCTTTCCAAGTGTTTCCCAACATTTCTGCGTGCCATGACAAGTCAGGGACCGAAAATGCTCTCATTCCACTGTTACCCACAAGCACATTCGAAGAATGCCTGGATCTAGCGGCAAACCGTTCGTGCTACTCGGTCTGTTGGTCCAAACAAGCAAAAACCGACAATTGCCATTGTCACGTGACGCCCATTTGGATGCCTCTGCCAAACACTTCCGTGGATTCCGCCGTTCTCGATTGGCCCTGCACCAGCCCAAAGGATTGCTCGTACAATGGCATTTGTGATACCACTTCTAGTAGTAGTAGTAGTACTCCGAAATGCCACTGCCATGCCGGATGGGGTGGAGTACGATGTGGAGCACTGCAATTCCTTCCCGTCCACAAGGACACTCCTGGATTCCGTCAAGTCAATGCCACGACAAGACACAATATCAGTACGTGGGGAGCATCCATTCTATGGGACCACCAAACGCAACAATGGCACGGATGGGTTTCGGAAATCGTCAATGAATGTGGCATTAATGCGTGGAACGTAAATTCGCAAATTGTCCACATTACCAGTCATTATAGTCCTAGTGGTCCCTTTCAACGACAAGATATCTTTGCCACTCCCTTTGCACACGAACCCAGCGTCACGAGAGGACCTCGAGGCGAATGGGTCATGCTCTATTCGGCATACAACAACCTCACTCGTCATATCACTCATCATCACGAAGGATACAATGCCAGCACGTGGCAACGAGTGGCGTGTACCAATTGCAGTCAAGGAGCCAGTCTCTCTCCAGTGGGGAGCAAGGGATGTCCCTTTCAACGAGGACAACCCACGAGACTCAATCATCTCTACATTCAAATGATGGCGATTGCATCCCACCCCAATGGGCCTTGGAGACACGTCGAAATACCCAAATTGACCATGCCGTGGGATTGGAATACTGCCATGACCATTCGCCCAAATAGTGAAGAGGCCATTGCCCTGATTCGAGGTGGTATGGTATGGCACGCCCACCAATACGATGATCCCCACAGTTGGCATCCACTCAATGGTCGTGCTGATCCAGATGATGATCACCAACCATCTCCACACTGGCCAATTCCCGTCGAAGATCCATACATTTGGTACGATGACACGAATGGCGTCTATCATGCACTGGCGCATTGCTTTGACCCCTTTTTTGGAGTGCATGCCTATGCCGCCGACGACAAACACCACCACAACCATTCTTCTTTGAAAGTTTTGAATTGGACCGTCACGGGAGTTGCCTACGACAATGTCGTTCACTTTACCGATGGGACCCAGTACGCCTTTGGCCGTCGGGAACGACCCTTTTTGATTTGGGGCAAAATGGGACAACTCGTGGCTCTCTCGAATGGAGTCGCCTATGGGACACCCAATCCGTTTGCCGTGGGCCATGACATGACATTTACACTGGTAGCGCCCATTGTGCAGCAACAACAACAAGCAATAACAAGCAGTCACCAACTGAAACGGACTACTCGAGTATTAGCTACAGTGTAGTTGACTGACAGCAGAGACGACAAGAGCCACCTTTTGAGCAATCTGGCCAAGCTAGCTAGGTCCCTTCCAAAACAAAACTGGCCGCAACACAATCACTCCACCAGCCTTTGTGGTGGGCAATCGAGCTAAGCTACCGTACTGGTACTACCTGGAAGGAAGATACATGTATGTGAGTGGCGAAATTCTATCTATCTAGCTGGCTATCCGGACACATGTAGTGGGAGTAATGCACTCACTACGGTAGCTAGCTAGTGAAGCAAAACGGAACAAGACCACCAGCTTTGTGTTTCGTGTGCCGAAGCAGCAAAGAAACTTGGGGATACATCATACGGTAGCTTGGAGGAGGTGTTGCATAACGGAACAAAGCACATGAACTTTTTTGTGGGTTCACCAGTTGCTAAAGGATCCCTTGTTTGCACAACCGTTCGGAACAAGACAGACAGATGATGCTCTGATGCCGATGCTTTGCCGTAGCTAGCTACATGTACCTGGTAGTGGCCGGTCGACCACTCACTCGTCGAACCTATTTTAATCCCAGCATTCTGGTGACTGAATGTTGGCGCTACCGCTCGGCTTCCCAGAAGTTCTAGTTAGAAACACAATTTTACGGTTTGCCAAAATTGTGAGGCGTACTTAGGCTAAAATAAGTCGTCCTGCTCATGTATCCATAGTACTTAAGGTTGACAGTTACATCAATGAGTGGCGCGGCACCAATCGTACATTTTGGACCAACCTCCACTGCACTCCGATGAAGGTCGATCTTTCGCTCTCTCGCATCATCACTCTTGCATTCTCACAGGCAAGTCAACCCACGGGTCAGCGGTGCCAGTTAACCGCATTATAGAGGTGCTTCAGTGCCTGTCTTCTCCTCCTTATAGATCAAAAGCTCGTAATCGCGCTCCACTCAACAATCCTCAGTCAGTATCATCAGATTACCAGCAGCATGTTCTGGTCTTTCTGCAACAAAACCAAAGTGGGAATATGGCCTTCTCTTGTTCTGTTCCTTCTTCCTAGAGACTCTTGCTCTCAATCATCCGTCCCCTATGTTGCTTACAAGTTATTGACGGCGCAACAAATTTCCGACACTCTGACGAGTTGGCAGGTGGAATATCCCAACTTTGTGACAACGCATACGAGTCAAGAAGAATTTGGATTACCTGCTGCAGGTTTCTCCTACGATTGTCCCTTTGATCCCCAAGTCGACGGTTGTCTCAACTACTACGCCGTAGTACAAGACTATGTGGCCCATCCACCGGGATCTACCAGCAGCAATCGACTTCCTACCATGTTGCTCAGTGGAGAACTCCATGGCAATGAACGGGTCGGACCGACCGCCGTCATGGAAGCCACGAGAATTCTCCTCGAAGCGGCGGCGTGTCAAGCATTGCCACGGTTTACTCATAATAATGACACGCAATGGGAATTGGACTCTGCCAAAGCAGTGGCGTGTCAAGGTCGACTCTCCGATCGATACGGCATGTCCGATATCCAACAACAATGGCTGGCACGATTGGTCAGTACAAGGCGGATCATTGTCGTCCCCACGGCCAATGCGTTGGGGTATTATCGCAATGCGCGAGAAGAAGGAAATGTCGATCCCAACCGTGATTTTCCCTATGATCATTTACCATCCGATACGGATGAATGTATGCGCACCATTGCGGCACGGACCATGAATGAACTTTTTCGGCATTATATGATTAGCAACAGTTTTACATTTCACGGTGGCACCGAGTTACTGGGATATGAGTGGGGCAATCCGACCCATTTTGGATACGTGTCACCCGATGATATTGCCCAAGATCAATTGGCACGATCGTACAGTGTCTACGGTGGGAGCTTTCAGGGGAACAATGGTCGATATCATCCCAATTACTTGTACGGGGATATGAATTCCATCATTTACTATGTCCGAGGAGGATTCGAGGATTATGCCTATGCGGGGAGTTGGGACAATACCAACATGGTCGTCTGCAATCCCAACACATATGGTGGATATCCAGCGGAAAAGACTACCTATGATGCCGGGATGCTTCGTTCCTTCAACATGTTGGCAGAAACCAGTTGGGTCAAATCACCCAATGACAATGATTTGGGAACGTCACTAAATGTCTTGTACGAAAACAGTGACTCTGGCAACACCAAGAAGCGACAAAGAAGAAGAACCCAAATTGGAGATGATGACTTTTATCCCTCGGCGTCGGCACGGCTAGAAGCCAATGAACGCATGGCACAGGGGCATATTCCACGCAATATACGTCTCTCCATTGCCGCTATTGAAATGATCCACCCCTATGTACGCATCACAGCTGTCGATGGCTTGGAATTGCCCGATGATATTGTGCCATTGGCATCTCGTGGGTACAGTGACCATCCGGCTTGCAACAATCGTGCTTTGGTATTGGATGCTCAAGAACGATTATTGGAACAAGCCGTCAAGACGGGAGCACTCCCCGTCATGGAGATCCCACTGGCGGACACTGGTGGCCTCCTCGATCTGCAGTGGACCGTGGGAGGTGCCATGACAATTGATCAAACACAGTTATGGGTAGCTGCTATCGATGATAGTGCTGTAGCGGCGAATGATGCAACTGCCTGGTTGCAAGACTACATTTGTGGAGATCCTTTGAACGAAGTCATGTCCCTGTCCCAGCGACTGGAGCCAAATGCCATCAAAGCAGCGTTTACCGCCGTGGGCACACCACAACAGGGCACTGGATTCTTCTCGGCATTTGGGCCTCGACCAATCCCACTGGATGACACAATGGGACCCGTCTTTCATTCTATATTGGATTTGGCTTCTTTGAACGTGAATGCGGAAACGACACTCGTCGTTTTGGCCAGTGCTCAAGTCGATAGTTCCTGGACACAGCTGCCAGTCAACACGCCAGTGGCACCATCGAACACGGGACCACAGTCTCACATGGTCCAGGTCAGGACCAATGCGAATTGGAAACATGTCAATAGCCAGGGCTATGTTGTTCAAGGACAAACCGAATTCTTCACGGAACCTATTCTGATACGATTGTTGGATAGCGGCAGTAGCGTGACAGCGGCAACACTGGTCAACGACCGATTCCAAAAGCCATCGGAACGACCAGGTCTCAGTACCACGGTCCCGGACAACACGGTGACAGGGAGCGGTAGCGGTAGTGGCATCAGCGTTGGTGGTGTCAGTGTAAACATTGTACAGGTGGAAGACATTACAGAAGCCCCAACCCTCCAAACGGAAGCGCCTACGTTCGATGGATCCGTCGAGGCAACCATGGAGGCAACGATGCTCCCAGAAACCCTTCTTCCCACCGCCCTCATGAAGAAACAAGAGAAAGCAATGCCAGAACCTTCCCAATCCGCAGCTGATATTGAACGAAGTAGCAGTAGACTGAGAAAACCTTCGGACAAACCTGGTCAAGGAGGACAGAGAAGACGGGAGCAGCAAACCCCACAGCAACAGCACGCTGTGAAAAGAGGGAGATCTAGAGCAGTCAGGGGGGAGCAACCTCTTCAGGAGAGACCATAGATTTCCTTTCGTTTTCATCTTTCCCTTGTTTTGGAGTTCTTACCAGCATGCAACCAGACACATAGATACACTAGAGTATGAATAATCTTGACTTATGCATATTTATTTATCTTCTAGAGTGGGATCCTCTACGCTTCGAATGTACCTCTGACTGCATTGTCATCAAAGCATCGACACTGAAACCCATCCCGAGCCCATGCTGAGAACTACCGTCTCTTGGTGGTTCATCAAGACGGCTGATCACCTTGCAACCCGGGCAGATGAACCAGTTCACGTCACTGATACAGAACAGATCTCTAGCACAAGCCAGGCAAGAGACACTCGTGTAGAAATCTCTGGCCACTGCTTTCTTGGTCTCGTTGACACGACGCAAGCGGGCCCGAACACCAGGAGAAATGTCCACCATGACAATGGCGTCGTCATCATCCTTCATGCCACTGCTTTTTCTTGTACCCTCCTCATCCGTGAGATACTTCGTGTCATCCTTGAGTCGCGGCATGTTCTCGTCGATGCCAGAGAGGAGCCGAGGCGGGAGACGAGGGGGCTGCTTTGACGATCTCGTCGATTCGTGCCCCCGAGTGTCACACGATCGATGCGAGGACGACGACAGCACGTCGGCGTCACTGCCTTGGTCACGGCGACTACGAGGATGATGATGTTGCTCTAGAAGCTCCCTTCGACGGCTCTGTCGCCTCGCTTCGTAACGTGACGAGAGCCCCGAACCAGACACCAGCCTTCCGTTCTCGTACGGCGCCGGTTGTTCTGGTGGTCTCTGTTCTGTTCTTCGACGAGAACCGTAGTGCACATCCGTCCGACACATGCGTTCCTCTTCGACTCTGCCATAGTCACTGTCGTGATCATGGTCGTACGAAAAGTGTTGGGAATGGTAGCCCCTTTCATTGTAGTAGTACCCATCGTCCTCAACAGCACGATGGCGATGGTCGTACGAATCTTGGTGGCGCCGTTGGTGACCGGTACGATAGTTCCGAGGGACGTGAGATTCACTGTAATAGCTTCGATCATCACCGTAACCCTCGTCCCTCCCAAATCGGTAGTCGTCATCCTCGTACCCGCGCACAGAATGAGCCATCCTTCTTTCGTCTGAAACATGACCATAGCTACCATTACCAGCATATGACTGTCTCCTTGTGGCTGGCGGAGGTCTCTCGTCGGGATAGTAACCACCACCGTGATGGTCTTGCCTTGGCGAGTAATTAGTGTGGTACCTTGCATCAAAGTCACTATGCCTTCGGAGTTGAGCATCTGGATGAGGAAGATGATATGGCCTGTCTCGACTCATGTCTCTTCCTTCCATGGACCTGACGTCGCCTCTGGGGTAGTGTCGCTGATGATAAGCGCCATCACTTCTAACGCCCAAGCCTGTATACTTATCATGCCTTCGCCCATCATCTACTAGATACCCACGTTCCAAAGGCTGATAACACGTGATAATAATGCAACGGCAAGAAAGAAGAATCAACGTGAGGGCATTCCAGATATCAATGACAGGGACAACTCCCACTTCTCAGGATCACACAAGTTCAGGGGCTCTTGGGCTGTACTAGCTAGTACATCCAAGGGCGAAGCTAGCAAGGGTACCACCTCGTTACAAAAGGTGCACAACCCATCATGCAGAGCAAACCCATGAAGCACAGAATGTTATTTGCCAAACAGAAAAAAGAACTCACATCATCATAGAGGACCGAATTTGAGAAATCCGTGCAAGAAGTGGAACCCGAAGTACACCTTCTCATGCTGGGGGATAACGAAGAGCTGCTGTTGCTCATGGAGCCAGTTTCAGGAGTCCAATCATCGTCGCTTTCATACTTGGGACGGTGATACGGATCCTTACGCATCCATCCATCGGTCCTGGAGGGTTCGCGAGCTAAAGAACATCGATTAAGGCGTGGTAAGCACGTGTGTCAGGGTTTACAAAAAGAACAGATCACATTCAGGAATTGATTGCAACTCTATTACGTACGTGAATACCGACTTTTATCCATCCCCACGTTGATGCCAGAGGGTTCCCGCCTTAGTGGCGGATGAGCCGCATCATGGACGCTCCCACCACTGTTAAAGCGGCTGGAATGCTCCGTTGCATCATCCCACTGATGGCCGCCATCACCTTCGTAGAGAGCAGCACTCGTGCTTCTTCGGTTCATGGTAAGTGATAACCCCTCCCTTTAGTAGATAGATAACAAGAAGGTAGCTGCCACCTGCCACCGATCTTAAAACAACACCAACAACACCAACACCTAACTATCACAACACAAGCACTTCATTTCCTGGCTCGGTTTACCTTTACGTCTTTTCGGTTTCTTTCTTTGTGGCGGCTGTCTTCGACTTTTTACACTCTGCTTCCTCCAAGCTCCAAGCGGAACAGGCGACACCATTACTTAAGGACCCAAAAAGATGCCAAGAATGACCCTCAGACTTAATAAAACCGCAGACCAATAATTCAACACTTTGAAGCAAGAAGCGCGATCACGAACAAATGATTTAACTTCGTGACGGCCTAAGGTGGTCTTCTATGTGAGGAAGTCTGGAGTATGGTACTACTTGAGTAGTAGCTTGTGGTTCGTGGGTGGCCTTGGGGTTTGGTGGCGCGAGGAGTGTGTGGTGTGTGGTGCATCCAAACATGCCGGTCAGTAAAGCCTTCAAGCCTTACTGTACGACCATTACATTGAACATCATCACTGAATCACAAAACGGCATCCAAAGTAAGTAACTGGTATCTCTAAATAAAATATCAGAATGTGGCATGTGGTCATAGGGAAAGCATATTGGAGTCATGCTCACTAATTCCTTCTCTAGTTCTCCTTGTGCGATGGTTGTGACAGTTGTGACTTCTTGGGAGAAAAAGGTATTAAAGGATACTTACCTAGTAGACATTTCACGCTGAAAATGACCTCAAACACACTAGGGCAGTGCCCCGGAACCACTGCTGGATCAAATCTCAATGGGACCTCACAATTTGGCTCAGATCCTTCACACACAAAACCTGTAGAGATAGCCATAAAAACACCCTTCATAGATATCAGCAGCAGCTACAGCTACAACATCAACACAACCATGGTATCCAACTTGTTTCGCCTTGTCCTCCTCGGCCTTTTCAGCTTGGCCGTGGAAGGTAACAACAGATATGAAATCTTCTTTTCCTACACGATGAATGAACAAGACGAAGATTGTTGGGGCCAAGAAGCTGCAATCCGAGACATCGTGACGTTCCCTGCCCTCGAGGAACAGGACGAGCTAACCGAAGTCCGTGGTAGAGCATGGAGGGTCCGGACGAACAATGGCCGAGGTAATAACAATCGAAGAGGCCTTCGTGTTCGTGTGTTGAATAATTCCAACAGGGACGTGAAAGAATTGGAGGAATCGATTCGGGAAAGTGCCCAGAAACTGATCACTGAGATGAGTGACGAAGACAAAGAAAGGGTCCCCTGCCTGAAAACGGACGCCATGCCCGAAAACAGTAATAACGATGAAAGCCAAGTGCCTCTGGTCTTTGTCGTCATGTCCCCTGTTGAATCCAACGGTCAGGGCAACGGTGGTGATAGTAACCCTGGTCAAGGCAACGGCGGCGATAACCCAGGTCAAAGCAATGGCCTCGGCAACGGCAACAACAGGCGGGTGGAAGAAGCGGATGTGCTTGAGACGTCTCCTGAGGGTGTGGAAGGAAGAAGGCTTGGAGATAAAGAGTGTTTGGACGATGCAAAAAAATATTGCCGTGCGGGTATCTATTATTACTGCGACTTTTGCTGCGATTGCTAAGTTCCCGGCACCTTGCATTGGGGCTTGTCTCCGCAAGCTATGTCAAGCGACCACGAGGGCGGTGGGCTTCCAAGTTCATAAACACTGTACAATAAAAAGACTAAACCATAATCACAGTTTCAAAGCAACCGTTTCCTTGACTACTATAGCTAGCTAGCTAGCCGAGGATGTACCTCTAGTGGACTCGATTGAATCAATTCAATCAGGACAAAGCGGCTCAGTCAGACATGGTGAAAAGAGGGCTTGTGCTTCGGTCAAACGGCGTCTTCCTCGACGACTTTCTCCACCACCTCAGCCGTCCGCCGTCCGCAATCTAGATGACATGGGCAGTTCACTGGGACTACCCGGTGCTGGTACGACCTCATTGTGCGGTGTCGGAACTGAACGATTGTGCTAGACTACTAGAGTTGGGGAGCAGTGCGGGATTGGTCCTATCTACCTAGTGCACCAACCTAGAGATATTGGAAACCAAAGGGTGAGTACCGGTATCTCACGAAGAGGCACTATTGTCATCTTCCATTTGGATGCTCAAAGCAATGAGTGGCTGGAGACCAGCCAGCTCTGATTGACTCCTGCTTGTGACTAGTTGTTGTAGTGGTAGAGCTCAGCTACTAGCTAGTACAGACTTGCGATACCATGATGTAATGTAATACGCTATGATTAGTTATCTATCTTGCCTGTTTGGCAACCAACTCTGCTTGCATCTGAAACAAAGTCTCGTACGTGAAGCCCAGGCCCACACCTCGTCTTCGGATAACCTCTCCATCCGCAGGGGCATACAGACCCTTGGACTCTTTCTGCCTGCGCTTGTTCTCACCTTCTTCCAGAGGGCTGATGGAGTGGCACGCGGGACATACCAGGTACTTGACATCCGCAATGCAAAAGAGATCGCTGGTGCAGGCATAGCAGGCAGCGGGAACGTAATAGTCCTGTGCAATGGCATCCATCGTTTCTTGGGTGCGTCGGAGACGGGCTCGGACGCCAGCTCCAATTTCAATAAAGATATTATCATCAGGACCCGGCGGGACATCAAGATGACGTTTGCTTCCTTGGCTGCCGTGGTCGCTGTGGACAGGGATCGTTGGTAATACCAGTGGTGTATCTTCGGGGGAAGCTCCTTCTAGCCTCTTTCTCCTTTCTTTTTGTGCTTGCTGAAGTTGCTGTTGGGCCGAGTGGCGATCGGATCGTAGCTCCTTTTCAACCTGCTGGAGTGTGCTCTTGGCGTCAGCAAATGCTTTCACCTTGGCACTACCATCGGTTCTATTAGGATCATATTGCACTGCATAAGCACCTGGTCTTCGTGGCGGTACATCGACACCCAGCTTCCTTTTGGAGTCCACAGACTTTACGGACCAACGTGAAGAGCTGGTATGTTCGGACTCTACGTTGAGGTCATTCCTCTCGGGTCCTTGGCTGGGACACTGTAGCAGCTGTGGACCACGACGCCAAAGCGGCACGTCCACCAAATGAAGGCCGTCATCAGGCCAGTCTTCTTGCAATCTTCGATCACTGTAGTGATGCCCGTGGTCTTCGCTTTGACGGCCACGACGGCGCCAGTCATGGTGAGGTTCACGAGGGGGTGTCTCTCGCCATTGCCTTCCTCCATAATTATTTTGAGGTGCATGAGAGTACCAATGGGATTCAGAATTCCTGTACCTAATGGATTGATCCTCCACAACATGCTGCTGCTGCTGGTAGTGTGTGCTCCTGTAGTAACCGCCATCATGATAATGGTGTCTGGTGGGGTTATGATGCCTTCTGTCTCCCGTGAAAGCATAATCATCATAATATCTACTGGAGACGTAACCGTGATCTCTGCGACTGTTATTATGGTCTCGGTAATGGTTGTAATCTTCGTCGTGACGAGGCAAATAGTCGCCCCTATCATGACCTTCGCTGCTTTCAACCTGGGTAAACACAATAAAAGAATGCAATCTCGTGTCAGCTGCCACACCAAGCAGTATACCAAATAAAAAACCACAGTGCCATAGGCAAACTAAGCTTACCAATTCTCTCACACGGAGTGACCGGGAAGATTCCATGAGCGAGCACGATGCAAAACTCTCGGACATGTCTCTGGCGGTGCTTTCACACGAAAGGGAAGCCCGAGATTCGTTCCATTGGTAGCTTGACAGCAGCGAAAATCGTTGATCTTGGCAGTGATAAGACTTAATTTTGTCCTCTCGGTGCTGGTTCTTCTCTGTTGGATAATGCCCCTCCTGTGTACGGTATCCAATGTCAGTCTGCGTCTCAATCTTTTTCTCCTTCCGATAACGGGGTTCTCTCAGATAATCTACCCCACCTGAGCTACCACCTGTTACCCAAACAAAATAGGTGTGAGATATCACTTGCAACAGCAGGATAAGTAGCAGGGATTTCGTTCGTTCAGTCACTTACGAGAAGGATATTGCTCCCTCATTGCGGGGGTAGCACTAGTAGACTTTTGCAACTGCTTTTGGCCATCCCTCGCTCTTCGTGGCTTTGGATTGCAATCTTTGTGGCTGGACCCATTCAAGAAACGAGTATCTTCCTCAACTTCGTGTTCATGGTTACGTTCCAACTGATAGCTCGTCATCGTTGGTTCGTATTATAATTGCACTGATGATCTCTCGCAGATAGAAGGAAGCTGCAAATCAAAATGGTAACCTCAGCACAAGCTTGCTTTTAATGGGTGCTGTGAGCTGTCAGGATGTTACCGGTACCCAGTACCCAGTAGACTACTAGTACTGGCAGTACTGGCCTCAGTACTGCTTTTGCCGACACTCGCAAGGTGATGGACTTGGGACTTGGGCTCACAGCAGCGACCGCCTTGATCTCGAAATTACTTAGAGAATAAGCCTCGACGGTGTCGCTTCTTGGCCTTCTTACCGATTCCTCAGTTTGTTCTCAGCCATTACCCAAGTCGAGGGGTTAAGTTTCGATGTCACGCTTTATTCACCTTTGCCCATGACACAAAGATGCCCAACACTGAGGTGTTGTTTCGTACAGTAGGTTGTTTTGGAATGACTCAATCCCTTATAATCCTCGTCTTCAATGGAGGGCTTATTAGCATCCGGACCGTGGCAATGTGGCAGCTGGCATTGGCAGTACTCAAAACATCAAACCACTCGCCGCCACCACCACTGTTTGATTATTTATTTATTTGTTGGCCACTGCCCCGAACTCGTTCCAGTCATTCACAGGCATCTTAAAAACTACCGTACGGTAGCCAGTCATGCCAAAATTCATGTTCTGGATCCTTTGTTCAGCGATCCCGGGGCCCTAAATCCAGTGCAACTTCTCAACTACTACATGCAGTACACCAACGCCACCACACCGTACCCATCATCAGTAGGAATGAGAACAGCAGCTCTAGAACAGCAGTGCTACGTTCTTACTAGCTACTCAGTAGTGGCCAATCACCATCAAAATTAATGTGTTCATTGTTCATTACTCCTCCACTGGTACGCAAGGATATTAGGCCATCGGAGAAATTCTAATTGCCAGACCGCGTTGAAACAGTCATCTCGAAGCCATCCCTTCCTCCCTGAGAGCATCGCTGAGATAGCCACTGGTAAGCTACAGTAGCTGGCTGAAGGTCTTTCGCCATGCTGGGACAAACCCGTGAAGACTGCAGAGGACCACCGTACAAATAAATGCTCAGTCCAGACTACGGATGGTCCAACAGCGAGAATATTCTCAATGATGACGTCACCGTAGAATCACCCAGTTAGGGCGGCGGCACCGGTACTATGTACCTGGTACCCCCCTCGCTCCTTAACGTATCTATTTAGTACTGTACAATGAGTTGACCATGAGAAACTGCAGGATGGCTACAGGATGAACTCAACCAATATGGCACCTACACAAGCAAACTGACTATCTAGAGTTGTCTACATTCTTTGCTTGTCGCAGCCATGTGCTGGTTGTAGTGGTGACAGCCATGTAGAAGGCATTATCTTATGTCAAACTAGACGGTTCATTTCTCTTCCAAATATTCCCAAGTTCTCAGATTTACCTTCATTTCGGACTGTGTCGCCCTTCTGCTATCAACACAATCATACCTATTGATCTAATGTGGCCATCAGGGAGGATGACATCATTGAAAGAGAGTACGGGGTTAACGAGTTAATAGAAAAAAGTGGCCGCCCCAGACCACAAATCCAGAGACAACTCCAGCATCTTGTTGTGGTTCATCTCATAGTAGCAATGGCTTTGGCCCTTCAGTCTTGTTGGTTTGTTGATGGATGCATTCCATCAGATGGGTCCAATGGGGCTAGTATTGGGGACAGAGATGGGCCGTCCTGTCACTGACAGTAAATTCTGCCAGAAAATGGCTGCCCTACTTTGCTGGCCGTTCGTCAGTCCCATGGCCAGCAAATAAACAAGCCACCACCACTACTGCGACCGGCACATCCAAATTATGTATCCACTATCTCAAAGTACTGTCAGGTTGACTCTATTGGCTAAACTGGTGACGGTATATCTATCAACTCCGTTTGATGAATTTCTTCTGAAGTGGGATTTATGAAGCTGGAGCTGAGGGTAATTTGCCATAATTTACCCCATTGTCCTGAACCATTCTCCCTGTTGGGCCATTCTCGCTGTTGGACCGTTCCTAGCAGACTACAAATAATACATGTACCGGTACTACAGTCGGCCGCCAGAGCGCATCCGTGGGGCCGCTGGGAAGTCTCTCGTAGCTCCCAGCAATGCTGCTCAGTACATTATTTAGCCCTCCTTTACCTGGTGGTACTGGCCGGTACAGCTAGCCAGACTAGTCTACTGGGAGGATGTTGCGGGTTGGACAGAAAGACCCGCATCGGACAGGGCGGGCTAGTAGCCAGCGAGAAGCAGATTGCTTGTACCGGTGGGGTCGGATGGTCGAATGTTTTATGAGAAGATAGTATAGTTATGCAAATTGTGAAGAAACTTTGGATGGCTACTAGCTAGCTAGAGCTCGCTAAAGATGAGCTTTCCTCTGCCTTCATGATCTCTGCTTGCATTTCAAATAGAGACTCAAAGGTGAAGCCCATCGCCGCCCCGGATTTCTTCCTCTTTATGGATTCCGTAGCTGGTGCAAAGTCTTCCTGATTTCGCACTCCCTCGTTCTCGCCCATTGGGTTGACAACCTTGCACACCGGACACACAAAGTACTCCACATCCTGGATGCAAAACAAGTCAAGGGAACAACCAAAGCAAATCTTGGGAACATAGTAGTCATTGACAATCGCCGCTTTGGTTTCTTTCGCACTTCGTAGCGCGGCTCGCACACCAGGCGCGATATCAATGTACTCTATTTGTTCCCTGGCCTCTGAAGTATCCAGCAGTGTTGGTTGTTGTTCTTGCTGCTGTTGTTGCCGCGTGGGCGTTGCTGTGGATGCGCTAGTAGTTGGGCGTGGAGGATCCTTCAAGCGTTGATGTTGCCGTAGTGCGGGCAGACCACTGGACTCTGTTGCCGAGCTGTCAATGTGTGTTGTTGGCATGACAAGATTAGGACTTTGGCTGCTTTCGTTGCTGCCCGAACCCGACATGGCCCTGTTTGGGCCTTCGTATCGGTGATGTTGGGGCGCGATGGGTGGAGATCGGCTTCTGCTGCCCTCTCGCACAGAGAATACTCTTTCACTCCCGGCGGGTCGACTCCCCGGTACATCATGAGGTTCATCGACCCCATACCGGTAGGGCCTGTCACCAACCAATAGGCAATCTTCAGTCACGCTCGGATACAGCGACGGCATTGATTGACTGAAAGATTCAAGTCTTGCAGTGGTCATTGCAGCATATCTCGGCGAGGTATTGAATCCTCTTTCGCTTTGTTGTCGCGCATGTGCAGTGCGCGGAGACCGATCGAACGAAGCTCCGAGGTGCGTCTCGGAACGTCCATGAGGATTCCTTGCGAAACCCATCCGGGGGCCATCGGTGTAATGATGGTCGTCGTAGTTCTTTCGATGCGTTTCGCGCACTTTCGGCTCTATTGGAATGCCACAGGCCAAGGGCTCGTCGTGAAAGCTGCCCGAATAACCGCGATCGGTCTGCTCCAAGAATCTTCGCCGCTGCCCTCGTTCCGAACGGGTGTCCTTCGAGGACGTGTGTCTTTGGGAACTCGGGCTTCCTCCGCTTCGCTTTGTCCTCTGAGTGACACCGCTCCTTCCATTGGAGCTACTGCTGTCCGATGAGACGTTGTGGCTCGATTCATCGAGACTATCGCCATAATGAACCCGGGCACTCGCATGGTGATCAGGGGAAGATCTGTTCATGGACCGCTTCGATGGCCCGGATCGCTCGAGGACAGGGTCTCTTGGCGACCTCGACCGCTGTTCCAGGACCGGAGAAGATCTCACGAGGGTAGGGCTAGATCTCGAATACCACTCCCGAGGTGGCTCCGGTGGTCTATGCGGTTCACCGCCACGGCGTCCAAGCTGGTAGAGGTCGTCTACATCCAAAGAGTTGTCCCGCATAAGCCCATCATCTTTCAAGGCACCGCGCTTCCATTGGTGGTGTGGTTTGCCATCACCCCCCTTGCTTCCGTCTCCTTCGCCGTCCAGGCTCTCGCGGCATCGCGACGATCCAAAGAGGGGTGAATCGTGGGCGTCCGGTGAGTGGCATCTTGTTCTGTTGGGGAGGAAATGGTCTTCGTCTTGGTGGCGCCTCACAGTGTATTCTCGATGTGGACGGCTCTCTCGACCTCCATAATGGCGACCACTACACGAAGCAGACATGGCTTCACCGTAACGTGCACTGCTGGTTGGGTGGCTGTTTCCACGGCTAGCAGCTGGATTGCAAAATGATCCACGGCTGGCAGTGCCAATGGTGCTGGTGCTGTGATTGGTAGTGTTCTATGAGGGAAAAGACGGAAAGATTCAGCTACCGTACTCCTGTTTTCACACAGACGCCGCTACATGATCATTGCACTCAACTGAAGTGAACTGAATCGAACCTGCATCGTTGCGCACTTACCATGTCGGCAAAAGAGGAGGTAGACCCATCATAAACAGAGCTGCTCCGCCTACTAAAGGCGTTGAACGAAGACCCACTGTCGGAAAGACTTTTGGTCTCGGCACATGTGGATTTGGTGTGAACACTGGTGGCATCCATCCCCTTGCCACAGGAAGCATAGGGGACTAGCGCCGGAAAAGAGTCCACAGGTCTTTCGTTCTTCAACGATCCTGCCCCCTGATGATCGAGACCTTGCAGGATGGGGTACAAGTTGGACTGACGAAGCTTTTTCCCATCGTCATTGTGGAGGGAACCAAACTCCTCCTAACTTCCAGTTCAGACTCGTGCTTCATCCAGTGTCCTTGGTGGTGGTGGTCGCTATGCCTGCGACCTATTTGCTCGCTCCTTGCGGCAGATAGAGGGGGCAAGGCGCTGGAGTCTTGTCGGTTGCCATGACTTCTGGTTCTTCGTCCTGCACGAACAGAGTCAACTACTGGTACTCCAAATCCTTTTTATTGGATGGCAAAAGATAATAGATAGATAGAAGAGAGAGATGTCAGTCAAGCCAATAATCCACAAGTCACAGCAAGTCAGTACGCCAACGGAAAGACAGCTTTTTGCGCGTACCATTGCCAATGGCAATCTGGTCCTCATGATGATGCAATGGCTGATGATACTGCTGGATTCCATCTTCGACTTGGTGCTCTTCTGCCATCTTTTCCTCCATAAGAACATCTGGCCAAAGCTCTTGTGCCTTGATTCCATTGACGATGGAAGATGGAAGAGTTTGCTGGGAGAGGATTATCGGCTCACCAGTACTGGCATGGTTGCATCAAGTGCATGGTCTTGTGGTCGCTCGTTTCATTATTGTTGATGGGAAGGGCATCGGAACATCACACACGAATCGAAATTTTTTCCACGTAAGCCCCTTAGACGCTAGCTTTGATACTTAGGAGCGTGTGTGCCTGGCAAAGCATTGCGTTAAGGCAAATTGTGCCCCTAGAGTCATCAGATGGAAGTACAAGGTTTAACAAAGAAGACCAGGAAGCCATGACCACGAGCACAAATGCCGAAATGCTATTTATGAAAGAGAAATCCAATACTCCATTGTTTAAGCTTTAGTTCACCCAAGACTAGTGAACTGTAAGTGTGCTACAGTAAAGCCAGCTTCCAGCATCCCCACTCCCCTCAATCTTTGAACTTTTGATTCTTGTGCCACAGGAACCCAAGCATCTTAGCTGGCTACTCTGACTACCGTATTATGGCTTTCCTGGCTTCTTTGCGGTTGCTAGCCGTCTGTGCGGTGCGTGACAAACAGTCACTCCGTCAAAGATGGGTTAGCTGTCTTGGCAATTACGAACAGCTCAATTGCTAAAGGACTGCGTGTAGAAGCCATCAAGGCAAGACCGAGTTCATCCAAATGGCTAACCGGAATGTTCGACAGTCCTCGAAGCCAAATACCGCCTGTCGCACTTGCTCCTTGGGTCCAAGGAGCGAGAAGCGAATCATACAACATTCCTCGAAATTCATCATGAGTCCACCACGGTCCTTTCTCTCTCGCTGCTTGCTGCATTCTCTTCCCTGAAGCAAGCCAGCAAACTGCAAGCAAGCAACCTGCAACGAGCATCGTGCTTCTTCTTAGATCTCGCACCTCGTAGGAAAGATGACGCCGCACCTCTTGGCTAACTCTATAACGGTGCCAACCTCCACACATCTATTTCGCCCTCACCAAGCCTTGCCGAGAAAAGCACACGCCAAATGTTGAAAACTCAATTACTTGAAGAAAGGTTCATGCATTTTTTAAAGTTACTGTATGTTGTAACTCGCCCATGTTGCCTTTGATATTAACAATCACAGCAGAACTGGCAATAAGCAAGAAGAAGCACGCCAAACCGCGGGCGCAATAAGCTTCTTCTGCTTCTCGACAATCCGTAAGCCCCCTCGGGTCCACGGCACAATGTGGACAAAGACGTCGTCAGCATCCAAGCCAATACAACTAATCTCATCTTCGTTTACACTGTCAAGCTGTCTTTCCAGTAGATTTCCATGTCGAGCTCAACCGTTTCCACATGCTAGCTAGTAGCATGGTCGCATGGTCTGATTCTTCCAAGAGAGGCGTACCGTCGCCTGCTGGCAACGGCAATAAAGCTATGGTACCGTACCGGTACCACTGTTCCGCTATCTGAGTGGTACAGTTGGGTAGTGCCGTTCTGCGTTTGCTATTAATAGATCATCAGTGCCCATTGCTGATTTATGCCCCCTGCCTGGACTAGACTACTCCCCTGATTCGATTTCTCCACATGTAAAAGGCATGAACAAAGTTTAAATAATTGAGTCTCGAATCGGTCTTGGCTTCTGAATTCCCATTGGATGTTTTCAGAGGCATTCTGGATTGTCTCAAAAAAGCCTAGCTAGTAGTCTAGCTAGCTAGCTAGCTAGCTAGCCAGTACAGGTTAGTAAAGCATACTTGAGTAATAGTCTGCAGTACCGTCCGGTCACTTTTTGGAAGTCAAGGAAGCCTCAAACTCTCAACCCAATTGGACTGCTCAATGCTGAGCAAGGTAGACCGTCAGATGGTAAAAAGGTACATTTGTAGTCCAGACTAGCTAGTAAACTACTCGACTACTAGCTAGCACTCTGTAACTACCGAGCAGTCCGCTTTCTTTTATGTTTCTTTCTTTGTTGGTCTTGATGTCTTGATCAGATCTTCTTTTCTGTTTTCGTTTGACCATTAGGTTAGAGATCAATTAATTTTGTTGGCTGGCTGCAGGGGATCGCTCACAGCGTTGTCGTATGTTGCTTTTGCTGCCTTTTATCAATTGCAGCAAAAAGTGAGTATTCTGGAACACCTGGAACAGAACCGAATGAATCGAATACCTTTTGCGAAGCGTCATCCTACTATCTACTCTACTATCTAAAATCGTATGAGCTAGCTAGACTACTAATAGAGTAGAGTAGGAAACAACCAGCAGAACATCGAGCAGGTGCTGGGACAAGAATATCAGAGGTCTGGTGCATGTTCGGCTGAGCCAGACAGGCCCCGCTGAAGCCGGGCGCAGTCTGAAAATTCAAGGCTCTTGCTCGCTCACATGCAATCAGTGTGATGGTTTTGATACTGCCACGGTTTGCGCCCTTTCAACGACATGAACTACTGATTCGCGGTGTCTCTAGATTTATTTAGCATTCACGTGACTGCCATCAAAAGGTCTTGCAAAAACATTGCACCCTTGCTTCGTTCCGGAAGTGTAGTGCAGTGGCTGGCTAGTTGTAGTCGGCGGTGAGGAGGCAGCTTCTACAGCAACTAATTACTGGAGGGACTAATAATAATGGGCACATGATTGGAAGTTGTATATATCTCTAGTCGTTTATACAAGTTATGGATGGACTACGCGTTTGCCGTGGAGTTTCCTTTCCCCCTCAAGTCACCAGCTGGTTGCTGTTTCTTGCTTGCTTTCTACTAACACGTAAATTGGCAATAATAGTGATTTGTGTTGCACAAAAGTTGGATGCAATGGCAATCGCAGAGCTCTCTTGCGTTGCGGTCATAAGACCCGTTGTTTTGCCCATTGTTGTCTCTTTGGATTGTGAATTCCACATCGAGATCAGAGCCAGTCTCCAGGCATGCACCAAACAGCGCGTTTCCGGAAAGGATTTTAATCGCTTCCGCTTCGGCTGTCTTCTTGGCGTCCGCCAAGTCCTCCCATGCAGATAGAGATCGACTACTACTATCAGTAGTACCACGAAGGCGGCGGCCGTTGCCGTTGCGGTTCTGCCATTGGACGCTGTTGTCCAAGGTAATCCCGGCTGCACTCAATGCAGGCTTGGAAATGTCGCTTTCAATGAGTCCACCAAGATTGCTGCAATCGGGGTTGGCCACCTGCTTGTAGTTGAGGATTGCTCTGTACTGTGCGCCTTCAACGACACCAAAGACAACGGCAAGCAGTAAAAGTAGAGTGGTAAGCATGGTGAATAATAATGAATGATCGATGAATGAAACTTTGTGTAGAGTTTGCGAAGGCTTGTGAAAAGTTGAGCTGCTCGGATTTGTGAGGACTTCGAAAAACGAAAAGCGGAGCGGAAACTAAAAAAGTGATCCCCAAACTCAAGAACGGAAGCAAGCGTACCACTGGTAAGAGGCATCAACCGTAGACATGATCCAGCAATCAAGCGTACGAGTAGATGTACAGTGCTAGCTAGCTAGTAGTAATTTACAATAAAGTCTTCAATCCCCTTTCCATTCGACTTTAATTCCGTCGAGTGCCCGAGCTGTGCCAGCATAGTGCCAGCATCTTAGCTTGTCCGTCTGGCAATTGAGGTATTGTTTGTTGTTTGGAGCGCAAGTGTACTGGTACATGTCATTGTGCTCCTGGAGCTTCTTAGAATTTAAAGCGTGAAGAGGAAGTCCACCTAATCAACTTACTTAAAAGCGGTACATCGAGTCATGTGACGGTGCCTTCCCGTATACTGGAACCGCACGGTAGATCTTGATTGCGGTAAATGGTGGGATCGTGGGGTCTCCTTTGGGATCTTGCTGGCATTTATGATAGTGGCTGGTTGGCCCACTCCAAAAATAAATGCTTCTTGTTGCTACAACATGTATTCTAGGCTAGTAGTGCTAGACTACAGTAAGCTCCATCATTCGGTTGTTCCCACCGCAAGTAGCTGATGACTTCTTGGTTCTGTGACCACCAACAAAGGAATGATGGATAGCTCTACAGCAGGCACAGGTGATGTGACCGGTAATGGTCGAGGCCGTCTTGCCAAGAATAGCCCTATATTCCACATTCCACGGTCATACATTAGCTTCTGGCCATTACAAAGGTGATCCTCGGTGTCTGTGGCATCCGAAAGGCTGGCCATTAGGAATCACTTTTTGGTTCACTCGTTCACTCTTTTGATCACGCCATCAGCATGCAGCCATCATCTATCTTTCCAGCTTCTCGAAGCCAGAGTGCTCTTGGCTCACAACCTCTGGAGGGGCTGCATTGCTTTACATTGTTTTGCAACAGGGGTCCATCACCATCTGTTTTTCTTCTTACAAAAACTAAAGAGCAACGATGATGCTCAAAAGGGCTTCCTTCCGCTCCAAGTTGCTGGCTCAGGCTTTGCCGAGCCACAAAAAGAAGGTGCACTGATGTTCCGCTACTGCTACTGGGGTGGCTCTTAAAAGCTCGATATCTATTTTTGGATTCAAGCAAGAGGTGCTCACCGGCTACTGGCTGGACTCTCGCTCGGAGACAACGACAGAACCACTCGACGGTTCAAGTTGTTCCTCAACACCACATACATTCAGTGATGCAGTGGATCCAAGCGCCGAAAACAGGAGCGAAGTCGAAGATGCTTCACTGTGCCGACACCTGGCTGTTCCATGGCCTGCGAGCCGATTCGATTCATTCGAAGCAGGCAGGTAGGCAGGCTCAAGCAAGCAGCCAACCAATGCCCAAGCCGATCAAAGCCCCACTCGCTGTTACAACCTCTCGACGGTTCATCACCACATGTTGCAGTGGATCCAAGCTCGCTGCTCCACAGCAGCGCTCCCTGCAGCAGCGCGCTGGAATTTGCTGGGTGGCAGGCACAACTCTAGCTACCTTCCGAACATCTGCTCCTATTTGAGGTACTGCGCTAGCTAGCTAATTGCCAAGAGGAGTTGCTTGGTTGGAATAGTCGATTAATGCGACAACCGGAGAAGAAGGTATAAGCATCTATCTATTATACAACCGTTATGAAGCTACGCGGCATGATGATCCCCATGATACGACCGGACTCTACTACGAGTCCTGGGTTTCAACATTTTGAGTCATCGCAATAAAAAAGGGCTGAGGTCTTGCAAAGAACGCACGTGTCCAAAAGCTGTCTGCGACCATCGTTGTTGCGCTGGATTTTGATGTCAACCTCAAAGTCGGGGTGGTCCTTGTCAGTTTGGAGGCACTCTTGAAATTCAGCGTTGCCAGCAAGAATTTCGATAGCTGCAGCGTTGGCTGCGGCTTCGAGATCGATCAAGTTCTCCCAGCCGAGTCTTCGGCCACGGCTGCGGAGGCTGCGACCGGCGCCATCGTCGTTGAGTTGGCGATCGTTGCCATTGTTGAGCTTCAACATCCCGTTTTTCATATCAAAACCAGCGGCGATCATAGCTGGAACAGTAATATCTGAATGAATGAGAGCGTCAAAGTTGTCACAAATCGAAGGGTTGGCTTCAGCGGCCGCAGACTTCCTGTAGTTCGGAGCAGCCCTGTAGGTTGCACCGTTCGCGAATCCAAGGAGAGCAAGGAGTAGAATAAAGACGCGCATGGTAATCAGTAAATGTTGTTTGGTTGCTTTAAAGGTCTCGAAAGAGGAGTTCGTTTGTTGCTTTTAGTTGTTGGAGAATTGTGATTGTGAGAGAAGTAGCGAATGTTTTCAATGGTGTTTTTGGCTTTGGTAGAAGGCACTGGCGGGTTTTTGCCACCTCAGGTTGCAGGGTGGTTTTGATGGTTTTGTACTAAAGAGCTACTAATGTGACAGTGTGGTCGTGTTTGAGGTTTTCTTTTGCACTAATCGAGTTCCACTGTCCTAAGAATTTAAATATTCTCTAAACCCACAAATGACTGAATTTACTTAGTAATCGAGACGCCATCCGTGTTCCAAATCAGACGCTCTTCAAGCTATGACCGGTAGGATTTAGCAAGGCCTTTAATAAAGATAGACTGGGCCAAGAAGCTGCAAAGACTCGACTCCATCCCTTTGTTCATGGTCGGTTGCTTGCCGATACTCTAGAGTACCGGTGCTACTACCGCTACCACTAGCAACGTCGTTAAGTCGGTGGCAAGCGCGGACTTATTCTAATACCAGGACCTACCGGTACTGTACTAGTCTAGATGGATCCTTTCTGTTCTGATACAGCAAATGACCCGTATAAAAGCCACCGCGCAACTACCGGTACAGTCGTACCGTACTCTCAATAGCTCTCTCAATGCACATTGGAAAGCGAGACAGCATCACCATAAGCACACGCCTTTTTGTAATAATAAAATGCAAGTGCATACCACTACACGCAGCCTCGAGCGTGACTTCGATACTGGTAACCGGGTCACCGGGTCATTCGGTAGTTTCAGAAGGCTGCTCTTGAAATCTACCATCTCACGCCACAATCATGAATGTTAAATCGGCCAGTCACCGCATTGTAGGTGAAGTTCAAAAGATGCTCTAATCATTAACTCCGGGTGGGATTTAAAGGGTCTTGGTCCAAGACCTGACCGGAGAAGTCGGGGCGCTTCCTCAGTTTCCAAAGCCGAAGCGCGGTCACAAGAGTGAAGCCGTGGGGTCTTTGAATCAGGACAGTCTGAATTCAAAAAGACCGTACGAACAAAGGTGACCTCGGAAATGCTCCAAAGTGCTCCAAAGTGGTCAACAGCACAGGTCACTGGAGCATTCCAATGCCAGTACTCTAATACCGCATGTATGATTCCTAATTCAGTGAGTCACTCTCCAAAGACTGCCTCCGGTGATCGGCACTGGGATCAGAACAGGCAACAAGACAGCGAATGTACCAGTGGTAGACCCACGGAAACCTCACCACTGCTGTTAGTCTTGGTGTCTTGGCTTCACATTTTTGAGCACGCAACAAACTAACAGAAACAATCGAACCAGTCCAACACAAAGACAAGCACCATGACGCTTGTGTGGTAAAAACAAAACTTATCTTTTTAAACAAGGCGAGAAGGAAAAAAGTCGTAGTTGTTATACCGCTGGAAGGTCTCTCCGCGGTGTACTACTGCTATGATGTCGAGCGATGCGTTTCCGTCCTGGGAACACCCTCTGGAAGGCGGCATCAACAACAACCACCACAACAGTGAAGACGCTCGCTTCATGAACGGATCCCATTTGGATCGATCACTCAAGGAGAAGAAGCGACAGCCGAGCGTCAAGTTGAAGGATCCACCGATTGGTGAGTACTTTCGTAGTGGATGGGTAGCGCTCTGTGTACTAGCTAGCTAGCCAGTTTCACGGAAGAAGTTGTTCACGTTATCGAGTGATGTGTCTTGCCCTGCCACTTCTAACCCTATCTTACTGGCTCCTTTGACAAAACTTAGGCTCTCTCTACCCGCACCGACGGTTGAGCTCGGAGGGTATCGCCGGCAATGCTGCCATTATGAGTGCAAGTACTCGTGGGGAAATGCCTAGAAAACTACCACCAAATCCTCATAACAGGCGCAAGTCTGATGGGGATCCCTTGTTGATGTACGACAAGGGTGGCAAGGAGGCAACGTTTATCGTAGACTCTATCCCCCTGAGCCCAGCTCGCATGGCCTCCATGAAGCAGGCACACCCGGACCAGACAAGGGGAGATAGTACCACTTGTTCGGAAACCAAGTCCGTCTCGGATGCGTCGTCGTCACTGCAGTCCCCCACCGAGACCAGTAGAGAAAGCTCCTCAGCAGCTTCTTTGGTTCCAGATCAAGATGCCTTTCACGAGATGAACCCGGATGTCTCTGCTCTGGGTTATTCCAGGCGAACCCAAGACCACAAGGACGTTCCCCCTGCTACTACTAGGTATGCCGGTTCACGGCACACCCGGAAGGATCGAGACGCTCGGCGGTATGATCACTCGCCGAGGAGAAATGAGGCCGACCCACCCCCGCCTCTGTCCCCGTATCAAGATCACTCCCAGACAGATCGGTATCGACATGACGGTCCGCCCAACGAGGCAGATGGCTTTCATGACAGCAGACATAGCAGGAATAGGTTCCATGACAGTCGGTCTCAGTTCGACGAACATCAAGATGGTCGTGTGTACGACCGTGGTGGTGGTGGTGGAGAATACAACGGTGGTAGATACCAGAGACGGTATAGCCAGCGAGGAGCAGGCCCTCGTCAAGAATACCACCACCAAGACGGCAGCCGCTATGATGACGACAACGCTTCGCGTGTGTCTCGCAGCAGCCGCTACCACCATGCGGGGGATCGGTCCGTGGCCAGCCGGGGCTACCCCGGAGAAGGTGGTCGCTATGATCATCATCATCATCACCAGGATCGTTACGACAGCAGGCGTCAACAGCATGACGACGACATGTCACAGGTTTCTCGTGGCAGTCGCTACCATGCGGGCGATCGTTCCGTGGTCAGTCGCTACCAAACGGACCGGTCCATTGCCGCGGGTGGTCGGTCGGTCGTCAGTCGATTAGATGACGATCTGGGATCGCGTCACTCTACCATGTCTTATTCGCATATGAGTCGCTATGAGATGGACAAGCCAACGCGCTATCACAACGATAGGCCCCAGCGATCTTACTATGACGATGAGGCCTCACGGAGTAGCGCGCGCTACCAGCAGCATCAAGGGCACCAGCACCGAGGAGGTCACCACTACGAAGACCGTTCTAGGAGATCTCACTATGAGCGAGACGATGCGTCCCATTCAAGGTATCCCGAAGATCGGCATCGAGAAGACCCGTATGCTGGCGGGAGGCATAGCCGACCCGACGAGCAGGTCAGATATCGTGAGGACCCGTACGCAGGCAGCAGGCATAGCCGCTCTGACTATCATGATCCTCATGCCGGCAACAGCATCCGTCCAGATCATTACGACGGTCCCGGACACTACGACGGGCCTCCTCGACAACCAGAAGACCCTTACGCAGACCCAAGGTATAGCAGGCATCATGAAGATTACGACAAGGAAGATGCCTACGGTGGGCACAGGGATGACCATCATGGAGGCAGCAGGCACAGCAGGAGACCCGAAGACGATCGATACTCGAGCAGCAGGCACAGTAGGAGACCCGAAGATTATTCTGAGGATAGGCGAAGAGATGATCGCTACGCGGGTAGCAGGCACAGTCGTCGTGAGGAGTATCCAAGGCAACATGAGGACAGGAGGTATGAGGGACGGAGAGGGTATGGCGAGGACGACTATGGATCAAGACACGCAGAGGACGGTCAAGGCAACGAGCGTCCTTCCGGTGTTTCTCCTTTTGCGTCTGCTGCCAGTTCTGACGGCAAGGACGAGGCACCAGAGCGCGAAGTTCACATTGACATTGGGTTTGGTACGAAGGCACGTCTTCGCAGGACCAAAGAAACCATGGATGCAATCGCTCGAGATTTCTATGCGCCTTGTGTATGCGTCGCTTGTAGTACTGATCTTTTCTGCATAGCGGATGTCAAATTCATTGTGTGCCCCAAGTGCAAGACCATCAGTCCTGCGGATGCTGCGGCCACAGGCGAAGGAGGAACAGCAACGTCTTTCAACGGAAGCCCGATCGAAAGGCGTGATGTTGGTTTGGGATTCACTTATGACACATTGTACAAGATGCAGTCTGATGTGGCACGGGAGAGAGATGGACGTCGCAAGGTAGCATTTTGAGGATGTGGAGAGAGCTAGAGCCGTCGAGGCTATAAACATCACGAATGCATAGGAAACCACTAGATACAGTATTTTTATAATCAACTAATATCTTTTATATGTACTTGGGAGTAGGCGTCCCAGTGCGCTATGGTGTTGGTTATCCTATCCGTAGTTCGTAGACAACGGGGTCTACGGCATACCGGTATGGTTATTCCGTCCGAATCCTGTACCTCCTGGTCTCGGTGATCTTGTCCATTTTATTGAATTTGGAGTGTATCGGTGTGTGGTTTTCTTGTGTGTGTGTGGTGGTGACTTATAAAGATCTTGTATTGAGTTTATTTACCTGGACCTCTGTGGAAACTCGAGTCGTGCTACCGATCGTCTCCTAAATCCTTTTGATCGTCTCCTATTTAACGGATTTCGTCTCCTAAAAATAGGAGACGAAACGGATCGTCTCTTAAATCTTTCGTCTCCTCTTAAATCGTCTCCTATTTTCAACGGATCGTCTCCTATTCTCAACGGATCGTCTCCTAAGTGCACCATGTAAACTGTATGGTATCGTCTCCTAAATCTTTCGGATCGTCTCCTATTTCGAAACGATCATCTCCTAAATGGAATGTCTCCTAATGAATCGTCTCCTAAATATAGGAGAAGATTGCTTTCGTCTCTTAGATCATTTCGATCGTCTCCTAAGCCTCGGTGTATCGTCTCTCAAGTAATTTGCCACGAATGACGTTTCCACAGAGGTCCTGGTGGTACATGTAGAGGTGCTGCAGTGCTGCTAGCTTCGCTACCAGGTACAGCGTACTGGTACCGGTACCGTTACACCGTCACCGGTAGTAGCGTGATTCACATTCACGTCAAACAGCAACCGGCTCTTTGAGGGGAAAGCACGTTTGGATCTTTCCTTCGCACGGCTGGCCCGCGCAACGCAACATCAGCACAAGAGTACACACAGAACAGCAAGATTTTTTAAAAGACAGCAGCATATTCAACACAATCGCAGACGACCACCACAACAACCATGGCAGCAACCTTCTCAGAACCGCTCTGTGTTTTCGCAGAGCCACTTCGGCCGCAGCAAGCACGCGACCGGAGATTGCGATGATGCCTCCCCGTCTGGCGCCACAACCGGGTGTTACCTCTACTATGAGAGTTCGTCCTTTGGCAATGCCCGTGTCACCACCGGCCCCCGCATGGCGGACCCCTTGACAGCTCAGGCCGAGAACATGACCAAGGAAGAATTCGCTGCGTTTCAGAAAGAAAATGTTGACCGTGTGACTGAGAAATTCATGGAGGAGACGAGGCATGCTATTTTGAGCAAAACGAAAATGGCGAGTTGTTGAACCATCGAATCTCTCCCTCTTTCCTTACGGATGATTGGGTCCTACGAGCCACCGAGTTTGTAAAGAAATTTGCGAACAGCCGTTGGACCAGAGAGCCACGATCTCTTTGGCCATGACAGAAAAGATAAGCGTGGGTATTCCGAAGGGTATCTTCTCTCTTTTTTT